CTCTTTGAAGTACATTCAACTTAATTTCTTGCAAAAGAATATCGATAATTCCACTTGCTATACGTTCTTTGATATAATTGTCTTCAACCCATTGATCATGCATTACTACATCTCTCGAAGGCAATACAAATTTTCGCAAATTTTGAATGTCATTCCTCTTCGATATAAATTCATTGCATATATTATTCACTATGACATCTTTGCTCAAATTTCGTATATTCGCCTTCTTTCCCTATTAATATTAAATATAATAAGTATTAACTTTTATTAAAATTCCATAAAAAATATTATCAATTATTTCAATCTCAGAACAAATTTATATTTACCGCATAAAAAAAAACAGAAATATTATATACATACAACAAGAGTTTCATAATCACTTTCCGCAATACTATATTTGTTTGAACCAAGATCAATTACTCCAATATATAATGGATCATCATTTGACAATTTATCGACATCTATATTGCTTAATTTTGTAAAAATATGTTCATGCAGAGATGTATCTTTTTTCTAATAAGCCAAAAATAAAGTTAGTTTTTATGAAAAATTCAAACAAATAAATTATTGATTACCTTAATTTTATTTTTCAATAGTGCTATATTATTTAAGGCTAAATCCTTGTAATTTGTTTTTTCTTCGAATTTTCCTCGTAAGAACCCCATATCTTTTAATGATAACAGTTCATTCCTAATAAATCGCATCTATAAAAATAAGAATGGGTTAATAAAATTCTAAGAAACATTATTTTTTCACAAAATACCCATTATAATCAGAATTATTCGGCTTTAATGACATAATTCATCATAATAAACACAATGAAAGAGATATCGCTAACAATATGTTGCTTTTTTAATCACATTATATTTATTAATGTTTAGACCTCATATTCATCATGTTATTCACTATTTTATAAAGAATAAAGTAGTATATATTACCTGATTAATATTTTGTAATGATCTAATATGCTGTTTACGTTCTTTATCCATGATTTCATTTTCTATACCTTTTAGGATTTTCATGAGGCAGTCGAGATCTTCTTGCTCCGTTTGAATTTTGAAACAATTCCATTGTTGTGTAATTACATTAGAAGTGGTGATTTTATCTAAGGAATCGTTTCTTAAAAAGTTGCATAATGGAGCAAAGTTTTCTGCCAATGAAAATGATAAATTATTCATGGATAGTGTTTTTTCTGTTACTTCTTTTCGCTTGTTGGTCAAGTTAGTTGTATCCATAGTAGCAGTTTGTAATGAAAATAAGAAAAAGGTTTCTATATTCTATTTAAAAACAAATAGCATAAAAAAGCGCGTAATTGCCGATAATCGGTAAGGATATGTATATTATGATCACCGAATCAAAATAAGACATTTATTCTATATCAGGATAATCATTGCACGATTTATTTCAGAGTTAAATTTATTTCTGGAGTGTTATCTATATCGATCTATTTTGGATATATTATCTATTTCATAAAGAAAAATAGAAATCATATATATATAACAAGAAATTTATAATCCCTTCTTGAATATTATATTTGTATAAATTAAAATAAATTACTTCAATACATAAAGGTTCACTATTTGGAGTATGTACATCTTTGTATACTTGGCATAAAGCTTATCAGTATATTTAAAAACATTCCGGTACTATGCATTCGATTTAGTATATTTCAAGAAAGTGAATCATTTCTATACTGCTTCAATAATCATATCTCTCTTCCGGAAATTTAGAAATCTTTATTAAATCTCGTGAAAGATGATTATCAGCATTTTTGCTTTGTTGGGATTCCGAAGTTTTAGGTTTTATTCAAGGATCTAGTCCAGTCTCTTCATATATGCGTTATATAATCTAGAACGAATTTTCTATTTGAGAACTTGGCAAATCAACTAAATTAGCATGTCATTTGTAATAGTTGTCAGTTAATATCTTGCTGGAGGTAGTATCAGAAGACATCTTGTCATTTTATATTAAGTCAATTCAAAATCATGTAGCTGTCAAGAAAAAAAAATATCACTATTCACTTGTCCAGGTTTATGCTTATGCTGTGATCTCAATTTCATGCCCCCCAACATTTAATAAAATAGGACCCAGCCTCATATCTACCTCTTATACTCTTCTCATCCTTATGACTCGACTTGCATGCTGGACATAGCGACTTATCAACAAGTCCATAATAATCAAATTTTTCACTACTAAATTCTCTATACGTATCAGGATATTGACCTAATATTTTATTACGAAATAAACACAATCATGGGTTGAATTAGATGATGTACTTGTATAATCTATAGATGGAATAGCAGAGTTAGTGCCAAGGCACATCTTATTTTCTGACAAAATATTATTAGGTGAAATACTTACCTCAGTCATGAGTGTGTGACTTTTGGTCACGCGGTATATCAATGGAATGCTTCTTAATTGTATCGATTTGCATGTCAGTTAATTTCGAGAGTTTATTTGCACTATAAGTTTTAACTCGATTAATTTTATCTTCAATTACGCTAAATAATTTGTATATTAGTTTAGTTCTTTTACGCAAACTTACACAAGAAATACCTAAAAGATATTGTAGCATTTCATAATAAATCTGCCCACTTGCTAAATCATAGGTTCTCTTATTATTTCTTTAGTTTTCTGTTAAGACATCATCAAGTCTTTTTTCGAAATGC